CCCCAAAACCCCAAAACCCCAAAACCCCAAAACCCCATACATACAATAATCATTAGAATGCTTGAGAAGTAAAATAAAATTTATCTGTGAATTAGTATTAAAAATGCTATAAAATCTTCTTTAGTCTCCAAAGTCTTCATCTATTCCTCTAATTATTCAGAATGTAGAGGTGCCTAAGACGGGAATTAAGAAACTTAGAAGTCCAAAAAGCAAAATGCCAAGTTAATTAGGATTTTCGAGGAACGATGAGAACAAGTCTATCATTGGAAAAAGTCAGAAAACTGCAATTAAAAAGTCATTATTGAATTCCAATAAGTGCTAGTAAAAAACTCCATCTAAGGTTTTTAAAAAATCTTTGGACATTTTTGCATCTGCAATGAAGGTAAAAGTACAATATGTTTTCAATGACGAGTAATTTGATGAGAATTACAACATACTTGCAACGAATGAAAATCATATAGAAAATGGGAGAGATACAGTTTGCCTAAGCTTTACAGATCACACCCCTGAAAAATAAGTTTAGACTGATTCTATTTACTCTACAACAACAAAGGATAAAATGTTCAACTATGGTGTAAATAAGTCTAGAAAAATATCAGACCTATCCCAATGCAATACAGGTGTTATTAAGAACCTGCCAAGAGAATCACTATCACCAAAAAAGATTGAGCAATAAATAAGAGATATATTAAACCAAGATATTCCAAAAGAGATGAAAAGTTCGAATAAGCTGAAAGCCTAATTAATTTAGAAAAAGTTTAAGCATCAAATGAATAATGAATAGCTAGCTAGGAGTTAAAGTCTTTTGCTTAAATCGCTTCCTGCTTAGAAATATATACAAAACAAATTTTCAAGAAATGAAACAAGCAAAAAGCAAAGCTAAACTTAGCGAAAGAGCATAGGACAGTTGTGTCAGTAAAATTCTTCTGCAGCATTAAATAGTTATGGTTAGGCAAATATTGTGACATAGGACTCAGTCGTTCGAAGCAAATTGCTGAATACAACCTAGTCAACTTAATTAAGGCGCAGTTAAAGTGCAAGAAGAGATAATTTCAGAGGTGAATTTTAAAATAATTTAACTACTCTGGATTATAAAAGAGTCCCTCTCAAGAAAAATAATAAGTGTAATTCTAATATAACAGCTTGCATAGCCCTAAAGAGTAGTAGTACAGTGAAGACACAAGATGAAAGCACCGAATATTTAAATAGTAATTTGACTTAGGGCAAGACTAGAATGTTCAAGAATGTTATTTAAAAGCAGATGAATGAAGTAGCAGCCAAAAAGGGCCCAAAGCTTGAATTTCTAATAACAGAAGATGAACTATATACTCCTCCTCTTCAAAGCAGTGCTCAATCAACTAGAAATATGCAAATAGGATCTCCGATGAGTAGCTCAAGCAGCAAAGAATTTAAGATGACTGAAAGAGAAGCAAAAATCAAGGCTAAGATTGATGATCTTAAAAAGATCATCACAATTCAGGAAGAGTTAGATGAGATCATTAAGAAGAAAGGTGCAGCAGCCAAGAAACTCACTCATCACGAGTAGCTGCTGTTAACCGATAAGTTGCATAAAGATGCTGAGGAGAGAAAGTCATACTAGGAGGCATTACTAAAGTTACAAATAGAAAAAGAGCGTTTGGAGATTGAGACATAAAAATATTAAAAAATAAAAGTGTGATCATCATAAAAACTAGCAAAAATATTATAAAAGTGTAAACTGTACTTATTTAAAGATAAGTTTAAAGTTGATTTAGCGAGAAAAACATTCATTCTTTTTTTCACGATTATTACATTGAGGGGTTTTGGGGTTTTGGGG